CCCCAAAACCCCAAAACCCCAAAACCCCAAAACCCCAATTGGTATTATAAACCTTGAAAATGTTAATTATTTAAGCTTTGGCAGAATAGTGTTGTTGGTAGAGCTTGATTCATACGGCTGAATCTGATAGCAAGCAGCTGAGCCTGTATCTGTAATCTTGAGATTGACAGAAGAGTGTTGGCCAAGAGAGGAGTTTATTACTCTCAAATCCTCATTACTCTTCAAACTAGTATTCTGAGGAGTATAGTGTAAAGGATTCAATTTAGCTCCCATATTCAATTTCCTTATCTTTTGCTTCATTTTAAGTGTCAATATCCTCCCTTCTTTCAATACTTCGGCAAGTTTAAATTTTAATTTTTTATGCTCGGAAAGAAGTTCTTTTGTAATTTTATTTTGAGAACTTAATCTCGTGATCATTCTCCTTTCGCAAAGTATTGAAGGTATCTTGAGCCTCAACTCTCTCTGCCTCTACTTCCTCCAACTCTTTGTTAATCTTATCAGCAGCGATAGGATCTGGTTGTTTCTCAATCTTAACTTGTTCTATCATTGCTTGCAATTCTTCATTCTCTAGCTCAAGTTTATCTGTCTGCTCTCTAAAGTTATTAAGCTGGTAAAGTACAGAATTTGGTCATATGTGAGTACTTCCTGGGTTGCAAAGGCTGCTTCTCGCTTTCTAGAAATTAGCTACGGAACTTACTTAATTTTTGATTTGGCATCCTTAATTTGGGCCATAAGTCCTTCCATTTTCTGAGGACTTCTTTCTCGTTTTGATATTTTGAGGAATTTATCTCCTTTCCTTTTGATTTTAAGATTTTCATCATAAATGCGCTTTTCAAGATCATGGATCTTTTGGAGATTACTCTCGATCTTCTTCTGTTTACTAGACAAAGGTCAGACAGCTGCTAATATAGGTTGACTTACGTGATATAATCTCCTGCTCCTTTGGCTTTCTTTCATTTGATTTTGAGGGATTTCTCTTCCTTCTTTAGTTTTGCAAAATATGTCATTCTAGAAATAAGAGAAGTGATCTTGCAGTTGTCTGATTTGAGAGTTTTGAAGACTCTTTTTGTTCTTCAAAGTTTCTTTTCTAAAGATTCTCAGAAGCTTTCTTACTTAATGTTGATTCTTCTTTTACCTGAGGTAAAGTCAGGCTGGGACTTGTCCATCTCACTTTTCATTACTTCAAACTTTTCCTCTAAATATTCATCTAGCAAAGGTACCTATTTGTTCAAGAGAGGCTTCCATAATCTGGTTGAACTTGTAAAGAGTGTCTATTGCTTGCAGCTTTCTTTGGTCTTTCTTATACTTAGTGTTGCTCTTAATCTGTTCTATAATGGTAGCTGATCTAATTTACCGATCTTTGATTCCATAGATGAATTTTTCAATAATTTTATTTCCTTAAGGGGTTTTGGGGTTTTGGGGTTTTGGGGTTTTGGGG